GCTCTCCACTAAAAATCTTTCACATGCTTTGTACCCTCTGACTTGCATTAAATGCAATGGGTATAAGTAGCTAAGAAGACTCTCTTCTCAGCAAGCACTCGCAAGCACATTCTTAGGCAAGCACTTTCTCTCTTGACCACTTCTTATCTTCTGTGCAACTTGTGTGCTTCCAAGATTGTTTAGATAAGTTATTAACTTTATCTTCTTTCACAATAATCTGTAAATTCTGTATTGAACCACAAGGGTGGTGTCTGATTGGTTTGAGCTTGGGCTCCAATGGTCAAAAGTGTCTGGAGGTCCCAGGTTCGAATCCAAGAAGGAATAGAAATCCCCTTGTGGCCATGAAGGTTCAAATGCGGTGACTCCGGGCTACCCGCGAAGCGGGTGGTCGCCCTGGCATTAGTCGCCTCGTATAGCGGGTTGGATATTCAGGTTAATAAAAAAATCTATATTGATCTTCTTTTGTCAATAAACAAATTTAAAAAGTGAAAATTGTGTGTTTGTATTCATGTCCCCCTCCCTTCTACAAATTGTTACCTTTAAACTCTTGTAGATTCGTTTGGGAGAAACAGGCGTGCATGCCACTTGTATGGTGACTTAAGTTGCACCAAAGGTCTCTTGGCCCACTGCCTTGGGCGCCTAGCCATGCGCCCTAGGTCGGTCGTTTCTTGACCATTTTCTGATTGTTCTCCTGACTGTTTTCTCGAACGTTCCTCGATCGTTTTCCCAAAAATTATGAGTGTTACACCTTGAAATTTTGTGGGTTGCATATGCCAAAAATATTTTGATATGTTCAAGTCTTTCCGCTGGTGCAATGTCTCATCATAATCAATCCCTTCTTCTTGTTTGTATACTTGAGTTACGAGTTGCCTTATTTCAAATGACAATGTCATCTTAATCAATCTTGATTTTGAAGATCCTTTTGGTGCCAATTATGGTTTTGTAGCAGGCTCAGGAACAAGCTTCAAGAATTTGTGTGTTCAAACTGTATAAGTTCCTCTTGCATGGCATTTAACCAACTTCTTTTCGGTTTGATCATGAACAAGAAGTTGACATAGAGACACATATTTGAATATCTTCTTGTTTTGACTCTTATATTATGATCTCACATATCTTATATATAGGATGACATTGTCCATTTTGTGGCAGGGGAAGAGAAGGATAAGTCGAGGGATCTAAAATTTTGGGTGCGACATTTATGGAGGATGGAGAAGTAATTTCGGATGAGGGTGTAATTTGAGAAGAAATTATGGAGGAGTTTGGAAAATCTCAATGATTCTAAAGGGTATTAAAGGCTTGGATGTAGGGTGGGGGTTGAACCTTCAAGATTCCTCTACTAAAGATTTAGGGTTTTACTTGGTTTCTAAATTTAAGCTCGCCCTACGCATTATGGGTTTGTTCTACCTTTCTAAAACTATATACATATAAAAAATGTGTATATTTAAGTCTTCCAAGGTTTTTTTTATGGTTCAATACAAGTATTTTAGTAATTTTGGGTTATTTGATGATTTTAGCCATTTTAGGGATTTTTGGTCATTTTGACATTATTGACGCTTGGTTCGCTTAAATATCTATAAAATATTTTTATTAAATCCTATAACTATAAGGGTCGGATTTCAGTGAGAATGGAAGTTAATCTGAGAAGCGTAGGAAGGGATCTCCCTTGGATCAATCCTCGTATCAAACGAGATTCATGAGTGCGTTTAAGATTAAAGGTGATCAAGAGTCAAAATCCCTTCTTACATTTCTCTATTTAACTTTTATTCTCACACAATACTTCGCCATAACTATAAGCTCTTTTTCCATAAATAATATAACTACAACTTTTTTCATATGTATAATATGACTATAACTTTTTCTTAATAAGAAAAATATAAGTACGTTAAAAAAATTATTTATTTCTAATGGAATTTTTTTATTCTTATTTGTTAAATATATGTTTATATTACAAATTTCCAATAATATGCTTATATAAGACTAATTACTTATGTATATTTATTCTCCTATCATATCCATAATGACATTCTAACTTCTTTCTCAGGATTCTAAAATTCATCGTTGTCTTTTATTGTCTTCCATAACTTATCAATTCATTAAGTCACTATTGATTTATAGTAATGAAGGTATTCTATGATAACTCCAGACCATTTACGGTCGTCAAAAAAACATTCATGATTTGTACAAGATGCTCTTACTTAATCTGTCATCAACAAAAAAATACATTAAAATATTTAATTAATAATTAAAAAAGACTTCATTATTTAAAAATATGGTATAAGTGAACAAAATTAATTTTTGTTTTTAATTGTCTGAATTTCAGCATTTTTTTATTCAAATAATTTAAAATAATAAATGGTAAAAATGTATGAAAAGGGAATTAGATGATTGATGTTGATGATGAAAATGAAATAATGGAAGACGATCAAAATGGCACGCTTAGATATATAATATATATATATACACACACAGGAATTTTGTCAATGCATTTGTAATTATATCAAATTATTATGTTTTCATCATTATTATTCTTCATTATTACCCCATTTATATATACTATTCTTTTTTAAACATTTATTTATTTCAATATAATATAGCAATTTTTGACATTTTACATGAGCACAATGGTTGTTTATGGTACAAGGTCAGACATAATGATTCAAAAAGTTAAATAATTAATAATAAATATATATATATTCAAAATTAAAATATTTTATAGACTATTTAAATTATATATATCCTATTGGAAATCAATAAATACACTAAAATCTAAATCGTACAAGTTATTCACTAAAAAATTTTGTTACAGTCGAAATTTCCAAATAAATTATTTGAAGTTTTGAAATGGATTTCATATCAGAGAATTATGACTAAGTGTATCTGTAACAAATAAACTGAATTTTCATTAGTCGGTTGTTTTATTCATATCATTACATTTATATAAAGGATAAATAAAAAGAGGATGATTAAACGAGAACATTGTTAAAATAAGAGGAAAAAATGGCTAATTCACATGTGAATTTACATGCGATTATGAAATACGATCAACAAAAGGGTGAGCAGACGAACTGACCCACGACTTCAAGTCACAGCTAAAATTGCATGACCCCTTAATCTTTTGTTTTTAATATAGGTAAATTTTATTTTATATAATATTAAAAATATTGCTTTGATTTTAAGGGTAAAAACAAAAAGAAAATTGGGTTTCTCCAAATTTTATAATGTAAAATTTGCATCAAAATCATCGCTCATTTTTTCTTTATATATATATAAAAATTGAAAGGTGAAAAGTTAAAGATAATCTTTTTTGCTTTTGTTTGAAGTTATTTGGAAAAAAGAAATTCAATTGACTTGTTCAATCTTGACGATTGAATATAAATAGGTTATTAYGAGTTCGAACAAGCCATTATGGTGAAATCGATAGACACGTTGCTCTTAGAAAATCTGATTATCTTCTCCTTGCTAAGCGACCCGACATTATTTCATTTCTTTTTCATGTACATCGATTATAAGAAAGGAGAGAGTCGCTCCTTCCCGTATGGAGTTCGGAACCCGAAGGCAATCGATGAGGGCTGATCCGTTATATAATAGAACGAAGTGAACAAGTTGTCCATATCTTATTTTCTTTGAATTAAATGTATATTATAAAAATCAATAATTATTGGTATAATGGTGACTTTTGACTTTTGAGGTTGGTTTTCATACTCGCATGTTAGTTGCATTTGGGAATGTTAAGCTCACTTTCTGAGGGTTAATTAGCTTTGTGTTGTATGAATTTACACATCGATATAATATAGGAATCAAATAAACTCAGTATATTTTATATAATAACGATAAAAAATTTGTCACTTTAGTAAAAAAAACAAACTTAATGAAATCATCACTGCAACGTCATGGATCTTACAGCAGCAGGGTATAACACCCATGGAGATAACCCTACGGCTTAGATCTTAAATTTGATCTCCATTGGTCATCGGTTTGAATTTTTTTTAGGACTACCATAAGTTTTTTCAACTATCATTCTGAGGACCTCACGTATTCACAGAGATGCATGCAAGTTAGCCTTGACCCTGTACTTATTATAGTAATGCTAGAAGGGTACTCGCACAATGCAGTGAGATATATCTTCATTTTATTTTTTGTCTCTGTTGATATAATACGATTTATGTGATTTTGAGAAAGATAATGTTTTTTTACGATTTAGTGAAGTAATTTATTTATGGCTTAACAATAAAATTTTATAAAGATAATGGTTCTGTTAGAACTCAATGATTATCCTAATTATATTTTAAATTTTTTATATTTAAAATGAAGATTTTTATTCTGTATTTGATTATGTTTATCTGTAACTAGTTATACGAATTCAAAAATAAAGCTTTAATAAATTATACTTACACATAATTTACTTATAATCTTAAATTTTAAGTAATATGCATTAATACACAGTACTTCATACATAAAGAATGGTTTTTAAAAGTTTTTTTCGAATCTTTATAATATAGTATAGATGATTGAATTACCTTACATATATGTGGTTTGGTGCTTTTAAAATATGTTGTCCCTATTTTGACAAGTTAACAAAACATTCCCTTTTGGTTGCAGTTCTTAACAAGTCGGGTCCATGTAAACATTTTTTTTAACGAGGTGCACCTATAGTTGAAGTTCTTTTAACAATTGGGTCGCTTTAATTAATTAATGAGTTGGGCCAAATGGTTGCATCAAAGATTCATTTCATTAGGAATATGCAACCACAGAAGCCCAGCTTAATAGTTTTTTCAAAATAAGGACCGGATCCTTTAAAAACACCAAACCTCAAGGACATAAAATGTAATTCACTCCAAAAATAAACAACACTATCGCAGTAGTCAATGCACATCAAAAGTTACCAAGGATCAATTAGTTTTTGATAAGTGCAATTTTCCCTTGGATCCAAAAAGAAATATACGTCAGGGAAAAGTAACCCCATAACTGTTGGGAGCATATTAGTATGAAATGAAAGCAAGCTATAGAGTTGTGCAGTTTTCCTTTAGTAACTCAATAACCCTTTGTGATAAACTCTCAGCAAACTTTCCCAACAATGGTTCAAAACCTGGGATATCGATTTTCACATCCCCATATGAACTTGCAAATTTGGCAATTTCATGCACATTTTTAGCTATTGATGGAAGCATTTCTGCTGTCTCAGCATAAAACTCAGCTTCAGGTCCTTCGCGTGTTGGCATTACGTCTTTTAGTTTTGAAAATACCTCGAGGGCAGTCTCGCTTGAGGCTGCTAAACTTCTTAATGCTTCTTTACAAGCGTCCAAGGTCTTGAGTTTTATGATCGGCAACTTATCAGCTTTTGTTGGCTTTGCTGAGGAAGAACATGAATTACTTTGAGAGGCAGCAATGTGGTTCGGGCTTAGCAAGTTTAGTGTTGTGTTCGATCTCATCATGCCCTGTCATTCATCAATTGATCAAAAGATTAAAAGATGTTCAATAAAGTTGCTATTGGAGTTGGATATAATTCTTAAAAATTGCAATGTTCGACTTAACAATTAGTAACAATAACTTTTGACTATGAGGTAAATGACTCGAATAAACTTAAAAATTTTACTTGGTTGCTATTTAGTGGAACGACTATTTTTTTCTCAATTTTGTGCAACAAACATTCTATTTTTTCTATTTGGTATCCGTTTCTAACGGTAGGTAGATCTTGTAACTATTAATGAAGTGGATGTCAAGTTGTGAAATAGTTTTGCTACCCAGCACGGTGATCTCATCTTGCTTGCTTGGAGAGAGGAAGCTCAATTGGTGATAGGTAGGCAGTTCTGAAAAGTCCTCAAATCATTCAATGTTATATCAAAATCAAGAAATGTCGCATAGGTTGAAAACAGTTATCAGGTAACATGTACGAAACAAGAACTGAGCATTTGTTACACTGATTGAGAAAAAATGCAGCGTTAAGTAAAACATAAATCACAACAAACTTCATTACATTCTAAAAGCGTACTGAAGACTTACTTAAGCTCCGAACCCTATTCAGCAGTTGAAAAAACCAATTCAATCCTTCAATCCAACCATCGGACAGAAGTTTTGGTGCATTTTATCCGAACTATAGGTGAATCTCAAAATTGATAGCATCAACAAAATGCAATGATAACAGCAGGCAAGTAGGTAATTTTAGCTTGAAACGTAGCAGAAAAGGAAATGTTTCAATTTTTGTTGAACACCCCACAAATGTTTCAATTTTGCAATTTTTGAAGTAGAAAATATTTATATTCGCCAAATGAAACTCACACAAATGCCTCACCGTTGGTGAGGTTAGAACTAGATACCAGTGGGCCAAAGCGCTTTGGTATATTGTTGCAATTTTCATGGTCGGAAGAAGGGAGTAATGTTTGTTGATATACCTGTCTGCTACAACTTCCCCTTTCTGAATCCTCCTGCTCAGTCACAGACAAGTCCGTTAGATTGGTGAGGTTGGTTTCTTTGCACCCGTTTATAGTTTCACCAGTATCATTCATGGGCAGCTTTTGGCCACGAAGAAGATCCCGCCCTACAGTAAACCGTGCAGAATAGCTTTTTCTCGAGGAAGATTTCGGTGCTTCTGTCTGAGAAAGCAGAAGAAACTATCAATGAGTTTATCAAATAATCATCATGATTAAAACATCATATTCCTACCAATATGTATGTATGCAATATGAGAAATATCTAATTAGACTTCCTAGAGATATATATATATATATATATATATACTTCTACTAATCTCATGGGAAAGATTATAGGCAACAAAATCGCTAGTGGCCCTGAAGAGACTCGTATATATACTTTCAGTGATTTGTTACTGATGTTTTGTTCTATCGAAATCTAGGAGCAGCATTTTGATCAAGTGAAGATAGAATTATTTCGAAGTTGAGATTATGTATTCAAGATTGCATCAATGCTATGTATTGATTTGGCCCAAACAATTTCTTACATTCTCATTTGTTGGAGGACATTTAAGACACATGACTAATTTATGGGTCCATTGCAATTTTCTAGGAGGAAGGGTATATTTTCTTTCATCTGACACATAGTAAAGCTCCAATTAAAGACTAGTAACCTTGAAGTTTGCTGAATTATTGCCAGAATTCAGGATGCAATTATCAGGGATTTGGTTCACAGATGTTGAAAGTTGCAACTGCTCCGAACTTCCATGGGTAAATTCTTCGGGTGAATCACTTGCTTCATTGCACTGATGCTGACCAATGATGTTGCTCAAACAGGCAGAATCATTCAATCCGATATGAACATTTAGGCATGCAGCCGGCTCAACATCATGGTGGTTGTAAGAGGTGCCACTCAAACAAAATTTGGCTGCACCATGATTCATGGACTCGATGTCGGTTGTCTCTAAAGCATGGCTCTGTGCTGCAAAAAGTCATCAATGTTGAGGAAATAAGTGGTCAATTGGACTACATTAAACTCTTGGGTGATCTTGGAGAGAAATAGTCCTTCAATCAGATGAGTAGAAATTGTAATCCTATATCTTGGTGTAAATAGATGACGAGTATGAAGAACGCTTTTCTGCAAACACATGAAATTCTGCAACCCATAGAACATTCAAGGCGTTTTAGCTCGTAGATAGCAGCATAGGTAAATACACAAAATACTCCACTGTAGGCACGTTTGACTTTTGAGGTCAAGCAACAATTAACTTGAAAACTGATAGATTCCTTGTATCTAACAGAATTTGACAAGTGCGTTGATGAATAACGAATAATACAAAAGATTGCAGGAGTTGAATATAAATATAAAATTTATTGAAAATTAAAATTTAAAAGTCATAGTTAAAACTTCAAGTCGGACTTACATTTTTTTCCTGGAAGGAAGTAATGAGTTAAACATGCATCAAGTCATCAGTAATCAGTATTACACTATTACTAATGCCTTAAAAGAGCATAAGGTGTTGTTTGTTTTTTGAAAGATGTGTAATCTAACAGGATCAAATCAGATACGAACTTGATTTTACTCATCATGCAATACTAACAGGAGGATTTTGGTTTGGACTTACATAAATTTGAAGATAAGGGCACACTTCGTTCCTTGGTGTTGTAAGCCTCAGGAGAATTTAGAAGATCTAAACATACAGTATGAATAGTTAACCAACGTTTGTCCAATGCAAAGCTCCTGTAGCAGATTTATATAATAACCCATAATGTTAGGACTGAACTGTACGACCAATGGATACTCTTCTAAATATTTCAGCTAATAGTTAATACCTGCAAGCTCCTTGGGTAGTTGAAGCTTTGCTGTTACTCGTACCAGATGAACTACTTCGAGTAAATCTCTCTGTATTATGGTTGGATGGCGTATGTAGTACAAGGTCCACAGGAGCATTTCCCCCACTAAGTGATTTTGAGGGAGAATGGTCTTCTCGTTCAGCTACCTGGCACCAAATAACAATGCAAGTATTTAAGGGCTAAAAAACTGTACGAATAAAGTAGACATTTGGTATACTTGGAATGGGAATAGGATAGGGTTCACATTTCTACAGCAATGTTCTATCCTATATACCACATTAATTGTAGTCAGACTAGATTTTTCTCTTTGCAGTATATATACGGCAAAGGAACTTACACACCCTCCTCACCCTTGGTGAGATTTGAACCCCTCCTGGAAGGCTAGGCTCTAATAGTAACCTGGATATTGTCAGACCAAAGGCCCATTGATTAGAAATTTGTCATTCCCATATTACTTACTCTTCCATCTTCTTTCCTTAACTTTCAAGTATTAGTTTTTGCATCTCTAGATCACATACTCTGTCATCTTCTTCCCTTTACTTATCTTTCAAGAATTACTTATAGTCTATGATCATGAGAATAATAAAGAGCATCAACAAGACAGAACTTCATCCTAGCTCTTAATCATAGTTCTGTATTACTTGGACGCTGATAAACTATCTCATCACCAGAAAAACCTCAATACGGTTCCATTAGGTGATTCGGGTATATGTATACATCTACCTGATGAAGTCTTTGAGAATATTCAAGGTGAATTGAGTTCATACTCTCACTGCCAATAAGGCTTGGGCCTTTGGGCTTCTCCCCAAAGGTCACTAGTCCAATTCCCTCCCAAGGGCACTTGCAATTTTCCTGGCTGTTCTCTAGGGACTCGTGGGATTAGTCAAGGTGCGTGCAAGCTGGCTGAGACACCCACAATTAACAAAACAAATTTGAAAATACAGAAAAGCATCTACTGCATTAGGCCTTTATTTTTTGTTTATGTACGTTTCGGATATTTTTTGTCTGTACCTCGCATAATATAGGATCCATGGGGATAACCAAAGGACTGGTGACTTTGGATTTTGCCCACTGTGGAAGTCTTGAGACACTAAATCTGAATGTCGACGTCTCTTGAGGGCATTTTCCTTCACAAAGCACAGCTCTAGCTGTGCGTTGCGATCTGAGATAATTTTCTTCGAAATAATTGATTTGAGCACATTGAGCAATTGTACTTGGGGACAATGAACAAAATTTTTCCTTGATCCTTTGCAACATTCTTGAGGTCAAAAGTGTAGGCACTTTCCAAATAAATATACATCCATCACTTCCTACCTGAGAACATCAATTAAGTTGACAGTAAGCAAAGGGCATAAAACAACAGTTTAGTTTAATTTCTATTAGGAGAGAGCTGAATTTTTGGATTTTCTAACTTCTTTGCTTTTGTCTATCTGTACTTAAAATCTTACTGGACATCACTGTTAGTCAAAGTAAATCTATAATTATGAGCAATTAAGTGTGCTATGATTTTATTCTAATAAGATTGTAATTGATCATAAATATCTAGTAAAATTTTATAAACATAAATATCTTTTTAAGTATGTTGTCGGTTTAATAGTTACATAATCGAAGCTGCTAAGAAAAGCACATGGTTATTAGGTTGAGTTACTAGCTTAAAGAATCTTTAATCCTAATCCTAGATCAAGCCACTTTAAAAGGTCTGAAACATTTCTGATCCACCACTCCAGTTGTAGCATGCCTTTGAGCTACTAAAGCTTATTATGAGGGAGGTTTAGGGGAAAGCATACATATGCAGTAAGAATTGAGGAACCAAGTTTATATTGTAGATATATATATCTGGAATTTCAAGCTAACCATCTGTTGGAAGTAAGGAAACATCAAAGAATTTATTTAGAATCTTTTGTTCTTATTCTGGCTAAATTACTATTTCAAAGATTTTAGCAGCATGATGTGAAAGGAAAAAAAAAAGAAGTAGAAACATTTGAAGAAGAGATAATATTACACCATGGTAACAGCTGCGAGCATACTTAATATAAATCCTAGTGTCATATGTTAGACGATGATGTAAATTCATGTAAAAGGCTGCAAAATACAATATATAATCGAGGGATTTTGTGATTATAATAGCATAATGGGGAGTATCTATTTTACAGGAAAAAGATAATGACTGAAAATGTAAAACACCATCAATTATTTACTCACAGAAACCAGATGCTTGCAGTCAGGTAAAAAGATGATCCCATTAATGGCTTCACCATGCCCCATTCCAAATGCAACCATCTCGCCACTCATAAAATCATACATGCAAATAGACTTATCAGAGTAAGAGCACACCAAGTAGCTGCAACTTGGGTCTAGAACAACCTGAGGAGCAAATTTGTTAGCAAAGTGATCAACTTCGATCCAGGTCAAGTGATATTGATACCATGCTGAACATATAAGAACACTTACTTTTATTGGATCTCCGAAATCTCCGCTCTGCTTAAATGATCTAATTACTTGCCCAGCAGCAATGTCAAACATGTTTATCCTCTTATCCTATAGTAGCAAATTAACTTGGTCACAATATTGGTAGCTCCAAAGCACATGATAAAAATAATGTCTTAGGTGCTGCTAACATTTGTATAAATTGGTACTATATATTTTCATAGATAATGACTGAAACTGATAGAAGTCAGCGGGCGTATAGGATGGTATACATCACTCATGTGAACCATCTAAAAGTTTAGGAAATATATACGATGTCAGGGGTGGGTTCCATTGGGAACCAACTATTCGTAATGAATAACACTGAGTAATCATGAATCTCATGCATTTTCATTATTTATGATTTAATGCATTTTTATCATAATATTATGTATTTTTGTCATACATATCATGTATTCTTATCATTAATATCATGTATTTTCATTATATATAACAACATTCATCATGAAAAAATTTCATTATTCAGCGTTATTCATCATGAATAGTTGGTTCCCCTTTCTCAATGAATTTGTAATTCTAATTTGAACCCACCCCTACAATGTTATTCATGTATCATCTAATATGCATTTCAAGTTTTCAACTCTAATTGATATAATTAGCTTAGTTTCCATCTACGGCTCCAAGCATGGAAGCTACCAAAATGGAAATTCAAATGCACTTGCCTGCCCCACTGTGACAGCAGTCTCTGTCGTTGGATCCATGGCTATATCATATACAGTTCCACAAGATGCGATATGCTGATGTGAATGAGAAATATCATACTCCATACCCCTTCCAGCAACATCTCGAAGGATTAGAGACCTTCATAAACAATAGATATATCAAATCACTGTGAAGGCAATCTAGTGGAATTTAAAATAGACTTCCAATTTTCTGCACAAGTTAAATACTGTTAGTTATATACGCATGCCATCAGCTTCTAGATATATCTTATGTGTTAATGATTACTCCTTTTTGTTAAAAGAAATGCCTGAAACAGCATCACGAATTACAGTGAGATTCCAGGATCAACAGCTAATAATAGTCCAGTTCTTACTTCTGGACAGCTACGGAGCTACCTATTACAAAAAATCGCCATTTTCATCTTGATACTACTAAACGGAGAGAGAAACTACGTGACTTGGGAACATCAAACGACTATGATACTGGAAACTTTAGATCTATTGACTTGTCAATAGAAGCTCACCTCAGCCTTCAGACAATTCAAAAACTGGAAGAAGATTGACAGTAATGTTTATTCTTGTTTGAATGCTACACTTCACCGGTCAGTTGCACATATTTTAATTGGAACAAAGTCCGCTTTTAATGACTCATTTTAACCATCTTCTTTTCATTTCTTGGTGTCATTACTCAAACCTTTAGAAAAGTAATAAGCACCCTGCACTCGAAGCCAAAAGCCTAATCAAGGATATTTTAGATTTACTCGGTTATGATATAATTTTTTCTCAAAAAAATCTCTTACAGATTAATCATTTCAATACAAAGGAAGTACAATGGTAACATCGTCAATTGCTTTTTTTAGCGGTCACCCTAGTGTTTAATTTCTGAAGCAAGTAAAATTCTTTGAATACTATTGTGTTGTACAGCATAATAGAAACTCACCTATCAGAACTACAACTGATGATCTTCCGCCCATTTCCAGTGAGTTTTACCGAAGTCACAGCAGCTGAATGATCATCAATACTTGCTATCAAATCAAAATTCCTGATATGGGAAATGCATATCAAAATCAAAATGACAAGAAACTCTAAAATTGTCTATGAAAGGGTAAAAGTGACAAATCAAACCTGTTTACATCAAAAAGTTGTATCATTCTGTCTCCTCCTCCTGAAGCTAGAAAATAGTAGCTTTCTAAATCCTCAGCAGAATTCATTTTCTTTTTGATTGGCAAGCTGAAATCTAAAGAAAGAATTTCTGCTTTATGAACATCCTGCAAGCATAGTCGATCAGTGTGCTTAGGTCCAATAAGAGGCATAAAACAAAACAGGGAAACAAGATTTTGAGCATGCAATCATTGATAAATTGAACTTTATCATCTCAAAACCTGTATGCATGTATAGTCAGTTGTGTTTAAGTTAAAGATATGCAGGTTTCCATCAGAATCACCAGCAGCAAGGTGCTTTCCATCTGAACTAACTGCCATAGATCGATACCCTTGAGTGATAACACCTGATACTACTGATTCACGTTCAAAAGTTCCAGCACCTACTGCAGAGAGAGAAAAATGAGTAAATCAATGACTAACAACACCATATTGAGATACTTTAACGTAAAAACCATAGAATCATGATTTTACCTAAACAGGACGTGCCAACTGGTTCTGGTGGTTCAGATTGCAAGGCAAGATCCCATAGCCTAATAGTACCATCTGCTGAACATGTTGCAAAGGAAACTCCACCATTGCAACCTCTAGCAACGCATGCAAGAGAAGGATCATGCATGTTTTCACATGAAAGATTCTGGACATCCCATATACAGGCACTATGTGAAACTAGCACACAACACTTGGTAGCCTAAACAACACAACAATTGTTTATCGGACTGAGTTGTCATAATGTAAATATTTCCAATATAAAGATCGGTACATACTTAATTAGCAATAAGAATATACTAATTAAAGAAGAATCAAAACTGAGGTTTTTGAAATCAATTAATGAAATATTGAACAATCACCTGGAATTTTCCATGAATGTTCCAAATATAGAGACTATGGTCTCTGTAGACCACCACTGCAAGATAGAAGGCTTAGGCATGATTCTTGATCCCTTACTCGAAAACTTGATTATGTATAAACATGGATAATGATGTTCTTGAATAATTGCTCAAAAAGAAAATAAGGTAAATGTAAAACATCATGAAGCTAGCCTGCCTCCAGGCCATTGTTGGATACCATTAAGAAATTTGAAATCCCTAATATTGAATGATGCTTACCAAGCTTTTCTGAGTTGGAGAATTGACAAGCTATTGCATCTGGAAAGGTAGGTGGGTGTTGAATTCCCTCTTGGGAGACTTCCGAGTGGCATTGGGTATTGGATGTCTTGTTGCTTTGTTTGTCTTCACTATACTGTAAGCTTCCAGCATATCCAAGGGAACCAACGGTGTACAGCTTTACCACTCCATTATTGCATGCACAAGCAATGAACTCTCTTGATGCAGATAATGCATAGCCTTTCTCAACCTAATAGTTGTATATAGAAAATAGGTGGAACACGACAAATTATGAGAAAAATATAAAGGCAAAGATCAAAAGTTCATATGCACCTGACTGGCAACACTTTACAACAAAAGAAAAACGATTTAGGCAAGAACAAAAAATATGTGCCAACTTTTTAAGATATGCATGACAAGGATATTGCATGAATAAAGATTATTTGCAATATGACTTGATGAGATTATATTGGGATAGCCAGTCAACTATTTCATATGCCAAGAATCAAGTATTCCACGAGAGAACAAGCACATTTGGGTTGGTTGCCATTTGATCAGAGACCGTGTTGTAGGGACGCATAAAGACCCTCCATCGATCCAACAGGTAGGCATTAGGACCGAGCACCAACTTGCAAACATTCTCACAAAGCCATGACGGAAATCACAAAGACAGTTTATTTGTAACAAATTGGGCATGATTAACATCTTCGCTCCAACTTGAGGAGTCTTGGATGTGGTAAATTAGGGTTTAACTTTCTTGTTTGTAAAAGTATGTTTGCCTTATATAGATTCCTAAGTTGTATATATCATCATGCAATCCTCTGTTGTTAAGCTATATAGAAAATACTTGATTTCCTGAATATGGATTTACATGTCATGGCATTTACCTTTAGATTCACCGAATGTGTAATTGTCAACCCACCGTGTAGAAGGCATAAAACACCTATAAGCCAAAAAAGAAAAAAAATTGACATGTAAATACAAACTTAAACAGATTCAATCCATGAAAAAGCAATGCAGACCATCTACCTGAATCGGTTAACGCATAAACAAGTACCAGTTCACCACTCTTGCCATCAGCTAGATTCCCTTTAGTCTTCAAAGATGATGTGATAGCTATAAATGTACAACCTTTGTGATGACCGAGATTAACAGTTTTTCCATGCATACTAGGTGATAATGAGTCCGTTTTAGCTCGAGATTTGGTAGGCAATCCAACTGTCCATGTCTTCAAATGCCTCTTTCCAGCAGTCAAGATGAAATTTGCATCCACTGAAAAGCTAACAGATGCCACAGCCGAAAAAGATGAACATGCTTTCAGCTTTTTAACTAGTCTCCCACTTCGCCAATCCCAAAGGCATAGGTATCCATCTTGAGGGAATCCAACCGATACTAGATGCTTACCTGGATATTTAAGAAGATGGATTAGAGGAAGATGCAGATCATGAATGAACATAATATGTTCCCGGATAACATTGATAATTCATTTTCAAGCAAGCAAGAATGTCAATGGAGTATATTTAAAAAGATATCAGAGAGATAACTGACTTGCTTCAACTAACCATCAGGTGAAAAAGCCATGCAAGCTACACCATATCGATGGCCTTTCAGTTCTGAAACAGAAGCCAAAGTTGCAGAGCTCCACACCACTATGGCAGGTTGGTGTCCTGACTGTGAATGATGTAATATACAGAAAATTCAAGTAGTTTATAATTTCATAAAGTTTTACCCAGGAGCGTATTCCAACACTTCTACTGGGAAATATCACAGATAGATATTGCACTTTAAGGCAATCATTGACCAAGATGAAATAATATAGTAAAAGAAGATAAAAACCAAGGTGGAAAAAGAATACAGTACATTAAGCATTTATCCAATGAATGAAAGCAACATAATACTTGCAAGCATTCAGTCAGTAAAGCCTTTTCTGATTATGCAAGTACATTTTTTTGAAGTTTACCCATGCAGGAGAATCTATAAAGTAAACTTATTCTCTGTGTTCGTCCGAAGAATTGAAGCAGCCACACTTGGCTGCTATTCAAATTTCTGTTGCATAGTGTGAAAGCCTATTATATCAGAGTTCTACAGACTAAATGAAATCAACGGATGAATCCCCAAGCAACTAGCTTATGAAATTCTATATTTATGTGACAAAATTATTTATGCAAGGATTTCGGTCTTTCCAACCAAGAATATATTGCACAAAATATAAAGAATAGATAAAAGGTGACATTGACATTGTTGATACGTACAAAATATGTAAGATCACAAGCAAGGTCTCTGATCCAAGTCTCTCTTAGTTGCATTTATGATCATATATGCATGCATTAGGGTGTTGCTCAGTATGTACACATTACTGGTCCTCTGACGGTAAGTAGGGTTAAGAGCATATCAACTTTAACAAATCAAATTAGCACTACTTGCAATCGCATTTAGAATCCAGAAAGATCAAAGATGTATGTAATTAAGAATACTAAACTTGAAAATACTTTAGTAACTTTAACAAATCAAATAGCAATCCCAGTTTAGAATCCACTTTCTAGAATCCGAAAAGATCAAATATACATGTCACTATGAGCTGTAAACTTTAATATACTAAGTATTGTTACGTTTAAGAGAAAAAAGTTATTAACTAATAAGGAGCTTTATTTGTTTATTTTTTGATCAGCAATTCAACAAAATCTTTACTTCCTGTATGCAAACAGGCCCAATTAACAAAGATAAAGGTGATCCTAACTCCATACCAGGAAAAAGAATTCAGTAGTCAAAACAACAAACTGGCCATTTTTCTAATGCAACAAAAATTCCAGTCAACCCCAAAAGGCAAACTCGGAGATTATTTCCTTCGGATGTATAAAGTAATATACTGCAAAACTCAGAACTGTATTGGAAATAGACCTCTCCAGCTGCAACGTAACTTCCATCTTGAGAGACAGCAACACAGGTCAACGGCTTGGGCGAACGATTAGACACGATAAGGTGTGACTGGGTCCCTAAATCGACGTCGTAAAGCACCACAACACACCCTGCGATATAAACAAACTTGGAATCGTAAAAGCTAGAAGCCAATCCGTTGCCATTCGTCGTCGTTAACCCAATAATCTCTTCCAAATCGAACTGCAGATTCAAAATACAAATAATCAGTTCCAACAAATTCGCTAGAACTAAAAACAAGCCCTCATACGTAAATTATATGAAAAGTTAGGGGCATTTGAAATGGATTAGAGGATGATGAATAAAAAATGGTTGATTAATAACCTTGGAACAAGAAGTCTGCGGCTTCTTGAGCTTGCGAGTTGGGTGCATCTTTGGACTTTGGATTCAAGAAACTAAGCCGTAGAGAAATGGGGGTTTGATTGAGTGATGTTCTTTACGGGAGAATGAAGCGGGAAATAAATGCAAATTAAACCCGCAATTGCATACGTTACATTTTGAATTTATTTTTGAACATTTAATGTCAAAATAATTAAAATGATATCGTAATAATTAAATAATTGTAAAAACATATTTAAAATGATATCCTAATAATTAAATAATTGTAAAAACATATTTATATAAAGCTTATTGAAAATTATAAGATGTGTAATTGAAAAAAAAACCCTCAAAACTTATTGAAAATTTATTATTATTTTTAAAATGTCTCCGATAAATTCAATGCAAATGTCCCTTTGCTGATGTGCATTAATTATTCAATGTATAAAACATTTATTTCCTAATTTTTAGTTAGTTTATTTTCTTTTATCTCAACCTTGAGTCTTTTTTATTGCATTATTTTTCATTTGTTTATATTTGGAGCTAAATTAAGTGATTAGTTTGTCTTTGCACCATTAGAGTAGAAAATCTTTAAACTTGAAAACATATTGTTTTGTGCTGTAACATTCCAACAGCATTAAATTGTCATGAAATGACTTTTTGGGAAGAGCTTAATGATTCAACTGTCGTTTAAGGAATAAGACAATTTTTTGTTAATCCGGTGGATAAAAACTTTTAGGGGCTGTTTGGTTCATGGATTTGGATGGAATTGAAAGGAATTGGAATGGCCAAATCCTTTGACCAAATTCCAATTACAATGTTTGGTTCATGGAATAAAAATGATGGAATCCTTTCAATTCCAATAAATTCCTTCATTCATGGATTTTACATTCCATGGCAATACCCTCGGATTTCAATTCCTTTCCGACAAATTCCTTCCCTAATCCAAATTCATTCCAATACCATGCAACCAAACGCAATCACAAGGCATGGTCAAATTCCATGAAATTCCATTTCATTCCTTCAAAGTCAAATTCATTTGATGAATTTCAATTCCATCGAATTCCATTCTACGAACCAAACGCCCCCTTACAGTTGGGTTAGAGGATTTTGGTGGTTACTTTTGTTTTGATGTGATGCTACATTTCAGCCTTTTGTCTTTTTTTTGGGAACATTTGTTTTTCCAAAGCTTTTGTCATCTTGTTGGGCTCTTTTGTATAAATAGGACCTCATGGTATCTCATAAAATCATCCCAAATCAATTCCAAAACTGATTTCTCTCTCCAGACTTTGAAGCAATTTAAGTTTCGTAATTATTTTTAAGTTTGTTCTTTACTTTCCGTCTTTTACTTCTCGCTCTTTTACTTTCCGCTTTTTACATTAAGTCATTTACTTTTCATAATTTATATTTTGTCTTTATTTTTCGTCATTTACTTTCTTTGTTATTTACTTTTTGTTATGAATAGCTAATTTCGTTAGTTTGGGTGTGAGACAAATGTGAGAAAATAAACCGAAGGAAAGTGGACGTTGTTTTGCAATAACAATGTTTCACTATTTCATTCAAGTTTTATAAAAACCAATGACACTTCTTGACAAGTTGATCACTTTGAAAGTGTTAAAGTGTCATGGTCTTAGAGATAAGTCATTGAATGCATGTCAACTTGAATGATATGAAAGGTGGACTTGAGAAAGTTGTCGACAAGGATTTTTGTCATTTATATCTTTCAAATTAATTAATTCTCGACATATTGGTCACTTGTTAAATTGTTAAAGTGTGGTAGATTCAGAGATGAATTACCTAGAACACACGCCAACTTGAATGATATGGGAATCGGCTCGAGTGAGTGATTTTTAACAAAGAGATTTGTTTATCCATATATTTTGAGGACATCATTCGTCACTATCCCTGGTCCTGATACCACATAGAGATATGGGTYGAAAGCTACAATATAGTGCAATGGTGGAAGTCCGAGAGGAATACTCTCAAAATAGATGGTGGAACTAGTTATGCCTAATTGCTTGTTGTAGCATCCCTACAGCATTGTCTGCTGGAATTTGTGTTTATATCTCAACCAAAGTCTTACACCCATGTTACCTTTATCTATTATGTTATTTGCAATTGTTAACTCAAAACCAATTAGAGTCTTCAAATTCACCATCTAAAGTTAGTCTTTCAACTCGATATCTTACAACTTAAGATACATATTCCTATGCAATACGATACGTGGTTCTTACCATTTTATTACTTGAAGATGATAGTGTTGACACGTGTATACTTGCATGTGTTACCACTTAGTGTTGTAGATATACAATATCTATAATCCATCAAGTTTTTGGTGCCGCTGCTAGGAATAGGCGTAAATCTATAATTGTTTAGAGTTTGAGTCTTGTTAAACTAATTTTTCTACCATCTTTGTTGCCTGTCACACGTCTCCATGTGTGTACAAGTAACAAGTTTTTGAGTTTATCTTTCTATGAATATGGATTCAATGGGGCAATCGTTTGGGCCGTATGGATCTATAATCTGTGTTTTTGTGGTGGAAATCATTTCTCATTCCTTTGTCTTTCGAACTCCAAATCTCTTTATTTCATGGGAAATGATAATTTAGATACCTCCCACTTTAATGGTTTCGCTCAATCATGGGGGGAACATCCGAAGTTGTCTTTAAGTAGACAAGATCATGATAATTTCACATCACCAATACCTTTCTACCAAGATCGGAGTTACACTTATCCAAATACTTTTGACTAATCTGGGGAGGAACAAGTTGATTTTGTTGGAAACTATCAAGGGGGTGATTTTAACAACTCATTTTTACCTCCTACACCATCTTTAGAACTAATCAAAGCCTTAACTCTTTTAAAATGTTTCTTGATGAGCACACACAAAGTCTGTTAACATTTGTTGATAATATCACAACTTATGTTCAAGAGATCATTAGTGAGGAAAACCAAAATCTTGTACCAAGTGAAATTGAAAAATCTAATTGTGTTGGTAAAGATGAGAGTGAGGTTAATATTTTGAAAAATAGTCAAGAGATTGAAGTTTCAAGAAAACACCTAAGCATTTGATCAACCCTTCTTCACTTCATAATAGTGAAAAGGTGCAACAAAATGCCAAGATTGTCATTGACCCATGCTTTGATGTTGTGAAGGAAAAACATGTTGTTGCAAATACAACAGCGTTTCTGCAGAAAAGTTGTGCAAAAAACCTTCAAGTTATTTTTAAAAAGGGACGTGATGGTCAATCCAAGGACTTGGGAGGCTTCATAAAGTCATGTTCAACAGTTGGTGAGGCGACGTGGAGAACTCTTTGTAGCATGAAATGTTTCCCTATTTGTGCCATTAAAATATTGTGTCATGATCAAGGAGTGAAATAAGTGGTGAAATAAATATTTAAGCATAAGTGGAAAGAGAAACACCAAGTTGAGTTAGTGAGGACGATTTCGGTCGAGGATCATACTGATGTGCTCTAGCAAATTCCACCATTCCTCGACAATTGTCAACAAGAGCTTCAGCCGCTGAAAAAAGAGAACACCGTGCTAAAAAAGAAGGAAATGCAACGTTTGTGCTGCAACATTCATTCAAGCAACAATAACACCACAACCTACTCCATTGGAGTAGGGAGGGTTTAATCATGACTCTTTAGCTCCAAAAATAATTCTTTATTTTCATTTATTTGGGTCTAGGAAAAATCTTTTATTTTATAATTTTTTTTGCAAGCCAAATAAGTCGTTCTTATTATCTTAAATATGTTCATAGCCTGAATAAATTACTAGTTTTTTTTTACCATCCTTTAACCTACCTTTTTTTTTTCTAGAACTAGCCACTCTATTTTTTGGGACACAATTTGGTCTAAACTTGCTCTAATATTCTAGGAAATGATATAGGCCATTTGTTCTTTTCATCATAGCCATTTGACACCCTTGCTCTCAATAATTCATCCAAAAACAAGACGTTGTTTCAAATGAGTTTGGGGGAGAGATATCCAAAAAGGCCAAAAGATCAACACAAAATAGCAAAACTCTAAAGCGATGCCTCGTTTTGGATTTATCAAAAGCATTAAAAATGTCCCATAGGGACAAAGTGTACACTGTCAACAAAAGAGCCAAAATGCCAAAAAGTGAGAAATTCATATGTTGAAGCAAAAATGAGAAATTCCTATGTTGGAAAGTTCGATCCAAAGCTGATGAACAAATATTTCATGGATATTCTTTAGGGTCGAAAGCCTTCAAAGTATTCAACAAAAGACCACAGACAATAGAATAATCTATTCATGTCACATTTGACGAGTCTCAATCAACTAACTCTAAACCCATCTCTGAAGATGATGAAGAGTTACATAACTGGATGATATCTCACTATGGAGAACCTTAAAGCTTCCTTCAGCATTCAACTTAACGCTAACCTTCTAGAAGCTAACGATGATCCATTTATCGTTCCAAATGTGACTAGTAATGAAGTTGAATCCTCTTCAGGGATTGCTGTCGTTCCTATTGGTCACTTAGCCCCTTCTACTTCAAATATGAACCCTTCATTCGCTGAATCTCCTTCATTCACTGAACCTCTATCAATAAATGGATCGCCCTATGAGGCTCCTTTAACAATTTCAACCTATTGCTGAAGACGCTTGATGAAGCCTCATCTTCTATGCCTGATCCCCCAATCTTAGAAGGTTATCTTCAACCAGCTCATCGATGGATGAAAGACCATCATATCCATCAAATTCTTGGTGATCCAAGTGCATATATTTAAACACGTTGTGGTATAGGTAATATCTGTCTGTTTGTCAACTTTCTTTCTCTAGTTGAGCCCAAGAAAATCAATGAGGCTATCACTGAACCAAGCTGGGTCACTACTATGCAAAAAGAACTCATTGAGTTTGATAGGAACAAAGTCTAGTACCATGTCCCGCGTCCATCTGAAAAAACTGTGATAGGCACTAAATGAGTTTATCTCAATAAGTTGGATGAACAAGGAATTGTAACCTGTAACAAGGCTCGTCTTGTTTCTCAGGGATACAGGCAAGAAGAAGGAATCGATTATAACGAAACC